ACCCTCTGACCATGAGTCACAAACCCTAACCACCAGCCACACTCCCCCATATTTATATAAAGTTTTATGTGTCATGTTTTTATCATTCCTGTACAAGGACCAAGTCATCTCATTTTACTTTTACTGTTTGTAGCTGGAACAGAAACGACAACTGTCAACCTTCACTGGGCCATAGCCCTTATGGCCGAGCATCCCGACATCCAGACCAAGGTTGCTATGGAGATAGATGAGGTCATAGGTCATGATCGTCTGCCTTCACTGGATGACACTGGTTCCCTCCCATTCACCGAGGCAACCGTTCTTGAGATACTTCGCTTTGGTTCTGTAGTGCCATTTGGTGTTCCACATTCTGTGATGTCTGATACAACTTTGTGTAAGTGTTTCCCTTGATCGGTTCATATTGTCTGATTTATTCCCCCCAAGCGGTTTAGGTTGAATTTGGTTGAGGAATAAAGGTACAGTCCTTCATTTGCAGCTATCCAAAAAGTAACTGACGTAATTACTGTTGAAAAGCATACTTGGTTGAAAGATAGTAACGGGACTAAACTCCCTGTGAAATAATTTTTTCTGGCGAGTTGTCATTTTGAAGAAATCAATGAAAGAAGGCATTACCAATAATGCTTCTAAAGATGCATCGTTGGAAATTTCTGTTAGTAGTTCATTTTTTTATTCGGCGAAGCGCACACAAGCGTTGACATGACACAAAAGGGTGCCGTTGCTATAATTCGTCGGGTTAGTGCACGACATTGCGTAGCTGCAATCAGCTCAGTGAGAACGTGTCTCGGACGCTGAATTCAAGCCCAATTCAAAACATGACTCAGCAACTTTTGATTTGAAATCGAGATCCTAGAATATCGTTTTTTCCTCAGAATATACAGCATTCACTGAGCTAAAACTTTGTCAGGTTAGTTGTTAAGCAACCTTCTTTAGATTGGAGCACTTTTGTTGCTTCAAACAAACATAATGTACAAAATTACAAATGATGGACGCTGCCTTTAACACATTTGTATAGAATTCTTATACTTAATCACATATGATTTCTCACATTTTTCTCAGGTGGCTACAACATTCCAGAGGGAACAATCGTGATGATCAACCATTACGCTTTACACTATGACACCAGTGAATGGGATGAACCCGAGAAATTCAAACCAGGTAGTTATAATGTATGATATTGATGAAACTAAAATCAAACTTGATTTTTAGTAATGAAGATAATGTATACTTACTGTGCTAAATTACAGAGTGTCTGATACAGACAAATCCAGGCAGGTGATCACTGTACACCCACGCGGCCCCCTTCAATGGAGAAACCATTGTGCCAGCATGGTACAAAGCAACTGCCCCATGACAGATTATCTGAGCAATAGCTAGCACAATGCTTTTGCCATTAAAGGGGGCCTTCGTCATAGAATTGATAGTGTGCCCGGATTTGTCTATAGAGCTGTGAAAAATACTTTGTTTTTCCTGCATCTGTTGTCGCTTAGGATAAAATTCTAACATGCCATCACTGCAGAAGTCAACTTGAAGCATGTCATGTTTTATGTTTTCTGTTCATCCCTCAATACAGGGTGAGTAAAAAAATAAAACCCAAATGTCGGAACCATTGTTTTAGTGAAGTTCTGCATGTTCCACTTCGAAAATCGAGAATATGAAAGCCCAATTCATAAGTTTTCTTTTAGTGCCAAAATCATCAAAATCACTCATGTACTTTTCAAGTTGCAGAATTTTAAACACAACCACCGTTTTATAGTTCTGTCCACGGACCAACAGAAGGTTAGTGTTCTTTCAGCAAAACGAAAACAAATCACATAGGGATGTGTGTGAATTGTTTCGTTTTGCTGAAAGAACACACACTTTTTTTGTGATCCGTGGACAGAACTTTAAAACGGTGGTTGTGTTTAAAGTTCTGTAACTTCAAAAGTACATGAGTGATTTGAATGATTCTTGTGATAAAAGAAAGCTTATAAATTGGGCTTTCATATCCTAGATTTTGCAAGTGCTACATGCAGAACTTCACTAAAACAGAAGTCCTGACATTTTGGTTTTGCTTTTTTGACTCACCCTGTATTAATGAAAAAGCATATGACAGTGTTGGGTTTATATATGTAATACTGTTTGCAAGACTATTGTTTTACTTAATCATATTTCCATTGTCCTTTTAATGACCAGAACGTTTTCTGAATGAGAGTGGGCAGCTGGCTTCCCAACTTCCCAATAGTTTCCTACCCTTCAGCTGTGGACGCCGCGTCTGCCTCGGTAAAGACTTCGCTCAGAAGGAAATCTTCTTACTCTTCACTTGGCTAATTAGCCGGCACACCATCTACAGGGTACCAGGCAAGGAGGAAGAGTCTTTGCTCAAGGTGAAAGAGAAGGCAGCGTTCACTCACCAACCCTTGGATGAAATTGAAATCTGTGTCAAGAGACGCTACTACACCCAATAAGCAGTTCATATTGGTACCAGTCATAGAGCTATATCAAATTACTAGAGCGCTAACTCCTCATTCTTGCGAACTATACAAATGCCTGTTTGCTTCGCCACAGTTCATTTGAAGTGTTTATGATCAGACTTGTGACAACTTACGAGGGCGTGATGACAACTCAGGTTTAGTGTTTATGTGTTGCAAATCTTTTAGTACAGAAATATTTACTGAAATATATTTGAAATTTTGAAAATATATGTATAATCTGAAATTCTGTTGTTCAGTACTTTTTAATAAAGTTGTAATCTGAAGTAGGGCCAAAGAGAAAAAACAAGAGAAATGAGAAGATCAAAAACAATGTGGTATTAAACTAATTATGCCTGTAAGTGATGTTCTTTTGCATAAATATGAAGAGATACAAATGATGCATAGGAGAAAAAGTTAGACTAAAATACATGTGAAGTTTTGTTGCTGCTCAATGAGTTCCTTTTTCTATTTTTTTTTTTTTTTACTCATAAATGGTGTTTGAAATGCTTGACAGTTGAGCATTACTGCGACCCGTGGATTTTTTTAATTGTAAATTACATTGCATGCAGTCAGTCGTCAAAATACTTATACTGAAATGGCAAACGGTAACATCGTTTAATGGTAATGTACACCATTTGCACATATTCAAAAACGAGACTGCCACACTATGAAATGGCCCATATGATGACTGAGAGTAAGTTATAGCATCAAGCATTCTGTAAAGTAGCTGCTTAGTATGCTGTCATTTTCAAATGCAAATGGTATACATGACCTTCTAAAACAAGGTAACTGCAAAAATCGCAGAATTTGTTTCGTTTTGGGCTTGAAATATTCATTTTCAAAATGTTATCAGTCAGCTGATTAGAAACATTTATTTGTCAAGAAATCATTCCATTGCCTTGACTCTTTTATCTTTATGAATACAACTAAAGAAAGTGGCGTTCACCAATGAAATGTGTGCAATTCAGTTGTAGGCAATTCAAAATATACAGCCATCTGGAAAATGAGCGGACTATTTAAAAAAAAACTTGTTGTTACCCCTCACACTCTTGGTACTCAAGTTTTATGAGGCAATCAAAACTGCTAGAACTCATTGAGACAATACTACTAAACCTAGATGTGGACTGTGGAGGTTGATTTCCACGTCTAGATGACTCGAGAAGGCAAGAGTTCGATGGAAATTGACCTCGTCTTTAATATATACATGTACATAGCAGTTCTCTTAAGAGTGACTAAACATGGAAGCTTTAAATCCAAACTTAATTTAAGTTATATAATTGTATTTTTTACTAAGTCCTTAGAACAAACAAACAAACTAGTTTTCAATATCTTGCGTTTGTGTCCTATTTGATATATTTTGGAGTTTTACGTGCAAGTATAATTTGTTCTTATATTTTATTATGTAGGTCTATGTTTTCTTGGATTTAACTGATATATAGTGCTTACATTTTGAATATTCTGATATTTACAAGGCTATGTAAGCCCATACATGTATATACATTTAGAGGTGTATGTTATTTGTGATATTAAAACGTTTCAAAGATACAGGGTTTATATAACATGTAACTCTACTAGTTAAGCCTAGTTATTTTCAGTTTTAGTCTCATGTGCAAATTCCAATAGAAAGATGGATAAAGGTTTTGGGAATCTGATGTTGGCAACCATTAGATCCAAAAACGCTGCCTGCTGCTAATTTTGACATTTGTATGTATCACGCTCATTGTATTTAGCAATCATAAGAAGTTTGGGGTATTTTACTTTTTCTTTTGCTCAAAAGGAATGAGGCTGAATTGTGCAAAACCTACAGGACTTTCAACTTACAAAGATCACTGGACTATTTGCACAATCACAATTTAAATGTAGCCGTGCAAAAGGTGCAACCGTGCAAGGTGTGGCAGTCCTACACGAGTTAAGTGAAGTGATAGTTCATGTAGGCTACTAAACACGATCATCATATATCTGTTTATAGTATGCTCTAGTGTTTCGCAAAGCATTTCAAACGTAATGTTTTTCTTCACAAAACCAGAGTCGTTACTGGCTGAAGATATTTCTCAAGTGTATATATAGTGGTGATGGTTGATTGCTCATTCCAAAGCTCAAGTAGACAAATTCAAGGCCAATTTGGAGCTAAATAGTCAGAGTCTCAGAGAATTAGCAAATTGATGTCTTGGGCAAAAATCAACTTGGAACTAATTACAAGCACAATACATTCACCTGACTAGCTTCAAGGGCGGACCTAGAACAACAAAAAAATTGGGGGGGGGGGCAAAACAAAGATTTGGTCCCCCAAAAAGTGGGTCCCAAAAATTACGGCGTGGGATTCGGGGCCCGCTTAAGGGCCCCGAATTTTTTTTGGATTTATAGATGCTCTGTGGTGCGATCTGAGGCGCAGGCAATTTTTGACCACTTTGACCAATATTCTTTGAGGAAAAGATGGTGGTGTACGCAGTGCCTGCCTTTATTGAGTCGTCACCAAAAACACTTAAATTGGGTTCGTTTGGGGGGGGGGGGGCATGGCCCCCGTTGCCCCCCCCCCTCTCTGGGTCCGCCCTTGCCTAGCTTCTGAGCATAATCCTTGGAAATCTTGTAAATTGGGCGGGAGGGGGGCTTAAAAGAATAACTTAGGATATGGGTGGTCTAGTGGAAAATTGTTTATGTACAAAAAACCTATAGGGTGTGTGCTTCTATAATCTTAACCAGATTTACAGGCCTAAAAACAATTATTTTTTTTATTTGTACAAAAAGGCAAACTATATGCAATCGAGGCTTAACTCGAACGCGGGACTTGTTGGTGATGTAAACAAACATGCCAGCATTTTCAAAGATTTGATTCGTTCCAGCTTTTCACGTATTCCTCCGGCTTCCCCCGACAACCCTCAAAACACATTGTCACGGTCGAGAAATGATGTAGGTAATAGCTGACGGTTTTCATACATGCATTGTGCAGATTGGGGAAAAAAGTGACAAGGTCTTTGTTTTTTGCACTAAAGATTAGTGATCTAAGTGGATTTAGCAAAGCAAAAATGACACGGTCTCCATTGTTCAGAGACCCTCGAGTCTAAACATTATGGATACAACTGTAAATACAGCTCGACCCGCTGGCCTATATGTAATACTATAGAGTGTCCTCTATAGCCATAACAGTCGGCCTATTCTACGTCCGCTGTGTCGCCTGCTCTAGCTCATCTCTGTGATGTGATCTTACTTTGCTTGTGCCTGACACGCTCTCAATAAATCGGCCAGAGATTCTTGTTTCTGCTCCATGTAAGGAAATGAAGAGAAATAAAAGGGGGTAAAATGTCGGTTAATGCATACCAATGTACTCAAAATAGCTACCGAACAACCCCAACGATCAGGACGCGTGTTGGTGTGGTTACCCATGATAAAGCGATAATCATGTAAAAATGAAGGACATATCAGATTGAATAAAAAAATTGCGTAAACTGGGCTTCCACAGATGGCCCGCTAGAATTTACTGCGGTCTTTGGGGTTTAATGATTTTTCTTAAATCAATCAAATCATTCAATCAATTATAAAGATGATGTTTGGCAGGCCCGGTTCTAGAGCCAATTATTTTTTTTTGGGGGGGGGGGGGGGCTAGCAGGGTGGATCCAGATTTTTTTCTGGGAGGCGTGCTGAAATGTAGACCGGTAATTTTCTCCGGACACTTATGCCTCCAAAAATCAATAGGTGGGGGGGGGGGGGCTCTCATATTTTCAATGGGGAGCGCTAATAAAATCCTACAATATTAACTAAAAGAAGTGTACAAATGCACCCTTCTCACGACTATTTATTTAGGGGAGACCGTTTGCATGTATACGCCACATTCTTACATTTTGCTAGTGCATTTTTAATGGATTTTTTTGTTGGGGGGCTAGACGAAATTTGTGGTGGCCTAAAGCCCCCCCCCCCCCCCCCTAGCCCCCCGTAGAACCGCCACTGATGCTTGTGCTTATAAACCGAACATTATGCTTAGCCTAAACTTGTCGCTTAGATGGTCCAACTGTGCTTTTGCAATATTATCTAAAATGTCTTGGCCAAGCTTTGATGGTGTACCTGTCGTAGCGTATCTCGGAGTTCACCTAGCCGATTTCTATCTCGACAGCTGGCTGGTAGTGACGTACTTGTCGTTGGCACACTGGGTGCATCCATCAAACTAATGTGAAGCTGACTGCCACGGGATGAGTAGCACAGAGCAAACTGAAACAATTCAGAAAATAGGCCATTGATTATTTAAATCAGGTATTCGCCTCCGTTAACTGGTTCCAAGTCTCTATTTTACACATGTACTTATTTGTTTTCCTTCACAAAAGCCTGCAACAATATCGGTAAGATGTTTGTTGAAGACGGTTTGGCACATCAAATTTAAGCCTGACAATCGTTAACGACACTTGAAGTCATTTCTGTTTCGACTTGGCATTTTGCTACCTGCTTATGCGTGTTGTTTTGATTGTTGGCAAAGTAATTACATGAAAACAAATCTTAAATTAAAGAGCGGACGCCATGTTGGAGGATCATTGTAGATAACCTTGGACCACAAGCACCTATACTGATTAAAGGTCTGGTTCACATTCTCGCTGGCTTCGATACTATAGGTTTCCCCAGTTATTTTAACACTTATGTCACGCAAATTCCCTACAACGATACTTTAATTTCGTCCCCGAACATCGTCGAGCTCAATTCCCGATTTCAATTTCAAGACACCTCCAATAGATTTAATTTATGGTGCAGTATAATTCAAACTTAATTCGTCCGGATTTCGGTATCTTCATCTTGTGTGGCGATCGGCGCTGTATTGAAAAAGCAAATTCGTCTTTTGTCATTTATTCTGATGCTGCTTGTCATTACATTTCGCTTCCGTTAATCTAAAATGATACGGTTAGAAAAAAATGTTTCCGATCTTAATGACTTATGGTTTGTACATGCACTCTGTTGACGTTGCGGGCTTGAGGTATGCGGCCTACATCCTCCGCAAGCTTCAGCATGCCGTCTATACTCCGAACAAATTTCCCGTTCTAGTGAATTTGTGTGATATAGGCCTATGTGTTAAAATAACTGGGAAAACCTATTTTGATGAAATGTGTTCGAATCTTGTCGTAGAAATGTACAGGGTGAGTAAAAAAAAAAACCGAAACCCAAATGTTGGGACCATTGTTTTAAGGAAGTTCTGCATGTAGCACTTTCAAAATCTAGAATATGAAAGCCTAATTCATAAGCTTTCTTTTAGTGCAAGAATCATTCAAATCACTTATGTAATGTACTTTTCAAGATACGGAATTTTAAACACAACCACCGTTTTAAGGTTCTGTCCACGGATGGCAAAAAAGTTCAGTGTTCCTTCAGCAAAACGAAAACAAATCACATAGGGATGTGTGTGAATTGTTTTCGTTTTGCTGAAAGAACGTACACCTTTTTGGTAATCCGTAGACAGAACCTTAAAACGGTGGTTGTGTTTAAAATTCCGTAACTTGAAAAGTAAGTGATTTGAAAGATGTTTGTACTAAAAGAAAGCTTATGAATTGGGCTTTCATGTCCTTGATTTTGAAAGTGCTACTTCCAGAAATTCAATAAAACAATAGTTCCGACATTTAGGTTTCGGGTCTTTTTATTCACCCTGTATAGGCCTACTGTTTAAAATAGGTTTCAGTTTAATTAAAAGAATAAAATCAGAGTCTCTGCAAGTAGCACCTTGGGTACGAAGACCAAACACAGGACCACGGTATTGGCAAAGACGATTGCGACACCGAAGATACAGAAATGTATATCGACATTGTTGACGAAGACTTGGAGTGCGGGCACGGCCAAGACAATGGTTATGCCAACGATGTACACGGAGAAGGCGATGTATTTACCTGTGACGGAAAACGCACAGTCTCCATTAAAGACAATAATTATGAAAATTGGGAAAGACGGTTGGTTCTTAGATAAAAACTATATTATGTAGATTAAAATCGATGATAGGATTGTACTGGAAAATTGGCAAATGTGGATGGGTGAACAGACATCTAGTGGGGGGGGGGGGGCCTCAGGGGGAAACCCGCCACCCCGGGCGAAAATTTGCCATTTTCTCTCTATTTTGTTTTTAGAAAATGAAAGCACTTCACAGCACTGCACTTCACAACCGCTGAATAGCATGTACAAACGAAAACAAATGGAATATTGTCCGCTTTAATTTGAACAGTGCACCCATTAGCCAGATGGGGCTAAAATGCCTCTAACAGTCTGTCACCACTATCACCATTGTCATCGTCATCGTACCCACTGTCATCACCATATCAATGTCATCGTCATATCAATCTTCAGTAGCGGATCTCCCCCTCCCCTCCTTCAGCTGAGTGATATCATGTTACTAAAGATATCATGTTGCTAAAGTTCAAAAATTGATTCTCAAATTGCAGGAGAAAGCATCGTAGATCTGAAACTTTTTCGAAGGGTTAATGCCCCAGGGCCACTCCCCACTGTACCCCCTCGGGTTCCTGAAAGGTAGGTCTGCCCCTGATCTTATCAAACCACTCCTACCCCCAGCCCTCCTCCCCCCTACCCTCCCTCAAGCAAGGCTACAATGACATAGTAGTTCATGATTTGTATACATCTACTCACTGTCGTTAAGTCCTGTCACACTGACGTTTCTGATCTCCCAGGACAGGAAAACGCCGAATACCAAAAGTATGCCTTTGAAGGCATAGATGGCGCAGGTGAAGTAAATCTCATATATGGACCCGCATTGTCTCAGGACTGGTATGATGTAGGTTTCACTCTCTGGACTCGCCGTATCTGACAGCTTTGACAGACAAGAACCAAAATTTAAATGAGTCCTAAGGTGACCTTTTCTAGCGAATTCTTGTAGCTATTATGCGCGGCATCGCAATAGTGGAATCAAAACGAGGTAGTTCTCTCCTAAAATCGCGTCGTTTCTTTGTTGGAAGTAATCAGCTATCAGGGTGAGTAAAAAACAACGAAACCCAAATATCGGGACCATTGTTTTAGTGAAGTTCGGCATGTAGCACTTTCAAAATGTAAAATAATAAAAGCCCAATTCATAAGCTTTCTTTTAGTACAAGAATCATTCAAATCACTCATGTACTTTTCAAGTTACGGAGTTTTAAACACAGCCGCCGTTTTAAGGTTCTGTCCACAGATCACAAGAACGTTCAGTGTTCTTTCAACAACACGAAAACAAATCACATAAGGATGTGTGTGAATAGTTTCCGTTTTGCTGAAAGAACGTACACCTTTTTTGTGATCCGAGGACAGAACTTTAAAACGGTGGTTGTGTTTAAAACTCTGTAACTTGAAAAGTACATAAGTGATCTGAATGATTCTTGTACTAAAACAAAGCCTGTGAATTGGGCTTTCATATCCTACATTTGGGTTTCGTTTTTTTGACTCACTCACATAAGGGCCAAGTCACACAAGGTGTGAATTGGTATGCCCGTGATTTTGTTTCTTGGATATTGCCTTTAAGTATAGTTGCCTGTCAGTGCTCGAGACACACGGCCTAAAAAAAAATTCAAGGATGTTTGTTACTCTTTCAGTAAAGCCGTGGAAATGGTCAAAGGAATTGCCAACTTCATTATCACCCTCCGAAAATGAGAAACGTTTATTTTATCGAGTCGCAATACTGTGTCCGACGTTTTTGTTATACTAAAAAAAATAGGTTCTGAAACATTCTGTATTTAAATATCACCCTTGAAGACAAAAATGAAAATATGATTTTTCTTGATTATAATAAGCTTTAATAGGATTGCAAACATGCAAATTGACTCCCATAGACCTCAGTGATAATTACGCCCACTTCCAAAAATTTCATTTTCTGTTCTTTTTTTTTGGGGGGGGTACTTTTGGGAGAAAATTCCATCCAAATGTGATCACCCCTAAAAGTATTCCTGAAGCCCATCGCCAGTTTGTAAATGATGCCTGCGCTCCACTGCAAAATAGAGCAATTGTAGGGCTTTATATTTTCATCAGAATTTCACAGAAATACGAGCTCACAGTCCTCTTCACGGCTTCCACCCTTCTTTTTTTTTACAAACCCTCAAGTTCATGGCCTACACAACGCTCAAGTATGTCTATCGGGAATTTTAAGGGCATGCAAAGCGTGATTTGGCCGGCATAGGCAATTTCGGGGCTGTTTACTGGTACGCACCCATCCCTTTGTATTGTGGTTTTGCGTGCGATAAAGGCCGCCGGGCAATTCAGAGTGAGATTTGAGAGTTCGGTGTGCGAGTACCGTTTCACATTCTCTCGCAGTTACATGAGAGAATGTCATTGTCTCACTGTAGCATAAAACAGTCGTACTGACTCCTCGTTGACCGAATGCTTGAGTGACGAAGATTACATTCGTTACGTGTAGTTTGGAGTGTGCTATTTTTCGGACTGACCGCGTTTCGTCCCAATTCCGTGTCTTGGGCCTGATTGTGTCGTCCCTTTCCCTTCCCATGGCCTCGATCCCCATCTCGCTCGGAAGGGATTCTTTTCCGGTGAACAGAGCTGATCAGATTGACAGTTATTAAGTTTTAGGGCCGCCCCATTAAAATTTCCCTTTCCATTTTGTCATCTTCCAAGGCATTGTCTATTTATGTCGTGAATGTGAGGCCTAAATTAAATCGTCCATTAAGCGGAGGTACCTTTGTGATCTATCATGGCCTCTACCGTAGCCATTCAGGGCATTGTAAATCACAAAAGGTCCTCCGCTGAATGGACAATATAATTAAGGCTTCAAATTCACGACAGAACTAGACTATGGTTGGGAAGATGACAAAATTGAAAGGGAAATTTTAGTGAGGCAGCCCTAAAAACATATAACTGTCAGTCAGCTTTTGAACTGCATAAGGTCTAACTAGGAGTCAGGTTTTGAAACAGAAAATTTGCAACGTTGCGAAAATGTTAAAATAGCAAACCAGGTTACAAGCCCAAATATCATGACGTCATACAGTCTTGACTCATTATCGGCTGACTTTTTTGCCAAGCACATAAATGTCCAAGGAATTTGTTTCCCCCAAATAGCCCCATGATTTCGGGCGGCTCCAGAGTAATTACATCTGAGATTCCTCGGTACCTACTTTGGGATCAAGGTTGATTGTCCGGATCGTTGATTGTCCCAGGAAGACCCAAAGTGTGACGATGACGCAATCAACCAGGACAAGTGCCATGACAACGGACATCAACTTCTTATCGGGTAAGTCCTGAAGAGACAAACCATAAACGTGTTCGTTAGTCTAGGTTTATGGCTTAATATTCGTTTTACTTTCGTTTTGTATCTGAAGTCCCTGGCAATTTTATGTTCGCTGCACGAACAAAAAAAACCCCAAATTTTACTTCATTATCACAATAAAGACTGTCCGGGAAGTAAGACTGAATTCTCCGTTAATAAATAGGTGCATTATTCTGTAAAAAAAAAATGGTGATTTTGGCAGCTCGATTTTGGCATAATTATAGAGGCACGTTGTAAAACAAATCCTCTCTCTTTTTAAATTAATATCCCTATCGTTGGTTTGACCTTGTATTAAATTCTACACTTACGATTTTCTTGAATCTGGCCACCGCCTTCTGGAAGATAGCGAAGATGCGATACGTCTTGACCAATAGTGACCCAAAGGACAGTGAAATGCCAACACATACCAGACCAACTTTCACCTGCAAAACACAAACATTCAAATTCAGACTCAATATCTTGTGCAACCGTGTGAGACCAATCAACCAAAAATCTACTTAACATAAATAAGTCATCATCTTACATAGCACAAGACGATGAAAGCGCCGTCTGTAATCCCAGATGTATCGACTCCAGAGACAAAGACAGAGGTGTAGAGAAGCAGACATCCCATGACGATCAGATTATTGATGATCGGACTAGAAATCTTTATGGCTCTGGACAAGGGAAAATATGATGGTATGAACCAGGTGTCCAAAACGGCGGTCAGCGCTAACAAGTTTGCACAAAATGTGCCATGAAGACAATTGATATGAAATTGAAATGGTTCCCTGATATACAAAAATTAACTAAACGTTAGTTAAATAAACGTCCTTTTCTGTACAGAAAGAAACCCCCGGTATGTACTTAACAAATAAGCAAACCCGCAACACAATAATGTGCATTAAGGCTCTTGGAAATTGCCATAATGGAGTCGTAAAAGAACATTTTAATCAAAATGTTTATGATCTAGAAGTTAGGTATATTCTTTGTGGATAAACATATACGAAGCTCACCTTGGTTGGCATTGGTTAATTTCAATAGAGCAGACGACAAAACCTGTCTTGAAACCTACCTTTGGTTGCGAAGTGCGATGTTCAGCGCTAAGAATATCACAGAGAGCATCACACCAATGCCTGCTGCCGTGTAAATGCTGATTTGAAAGGGGAGGGATATCTGAGTGAGGATCGGTATCTCTGTCTTCCCGTCAACTGGTATTACCGAACCTATTATTCAAGTTCATGATATAAAAAGAAAATGGAAAATCATCAATCATCAAATCACCAATAAAGACCTTGAAGTGACAAAGATCCAAAAGATAAGAGTGTTTTGCGGCGTGTCATAATAGTCTCTCAATATGACGTCACTTCTTACAGATTGTCACGTGCATCGGCATATTGCGTGTCACATTATTTTTCGTGACGCGCCTGATGGCGTTGAATGTGTAGCTGTAATTTTTCCTACGAAGATGGCTGTCTATGATAGAGATCTATAGGCCTTACTGATATCAGGTTTTGGGTCTGTCTAGTTACGGGTAATGACGATCTCTCAAAGAACGCTGGTGTACGTAAAGGCTGGTTCATTCTTCACGCGAATGCGAAGCGCGTTTGACGAGACATTAATTCGAAGCGAAATTCGCAGAAGTTGAAATGTACACAATTTGCCATGACGTCAGAGATTCGCGTTCGCCTTCACGTCGAGTATGAACCGGACCTTACTGGGTCCTTATTATTGACAAACCTTTCCACTGAATTGTCGCGTTAGGAATTGTCTCGTATTCGCCATCGGCAAAGTAGTTGAGAATCCTCACGGGGTGTTCATCTGCGATAAGCGAATGTATACAAAAGTTAGCTGGATCCTTGGACTCATTATTCGATAACGGAAATTCGATTCTTATTGGACGACCTTAGAAGATGAAAGGATGAAATTGGATGTTACAACTCAATTTAGTTCGATTTGAACCGCCCAATCCACAGGTGAAAACAGCTCTTACACAATTAGTTAGGCCTATATTTAATAACGGTCGTAAAACTGAATGACAACTAGTCGGATTTTACATTTCCTCAAAGTTTTTTTTGTGAGAAAAAGATCATCCACTATTTATTATAAAACAAAAAAAAATATTGTTGATATAGCTACAAGTCATTATTGAGTAACGACAATCAGTTGAATATCTTTAGAATTCTTGTTCCTACTTTGTAACTGCTCGACGTAGACTGTTGTATGCCGTACTCCTCCTTTACCAATAACAACACGATCCTGCAAAAAAAAATAAACAAAATGTATATGTACGTAAGCGTTCGAGCGAAATGAATAAGAAGTTTCTGTTTCCTTTGGTTGCCATGCTGATTTAGAGGGCCGTGGCCTCGTACTACGCGTGGTGGTGTAGTAATCTTATTGATAATGATTGTTTTACGCGTTGCGGATTCAACTCGAATAGGTGGAGTTGTATTGTGTGTGTCCATCGGCAAGTCACTTTTGACACTAATTGCTTCGATCAACACAAAGGAGTATATCCCGTCCGACACAGATAGTGGATTGAATGCGTGCTTGAAATTGGAACATAGGCTGTAGGCCTAGCCTACATGAAGCCAACAATCATGAGATTAACTGTATACCTACCGTCAAACCGACGAATTCCGTCTGCAATGTATTTCTCAACAGAATCTGAGCCATCTCCTGGTCTCCATAATTAAACTCGTCCAGCCTTCTGGCTGGATCCAACTGCCTCAACTCGCCTATCGAGGCGTTGAGAGCTAGGGCCATCGTGAATAGGCAGTCGTAAGCGTAAATATCCCGAGAGTTGTCCTCCATATTGTGAAGTGATTCAAGATATTCAATCTGCTCAGGAAATGGTTTCTGGAAGAGAAAGAATGATATGGCAATATCGTAATATATAGAAATGGGTGCATACCTATGTTCCTCAATACCGATGTTCCCCGTCCTTACTTCTATAACCCTAACCCTAATCCTAAGAATTTCGGGGAGCATCGGTATTATGGAATATAGGTATTTGGGAACATCGGGCAGACCCACAGAAATGGGGGGCCGCCCGATAGTCCGAAGGTCCGAAAGTCTGAAGGTTCGATAGTCCGTATGATCTTTAATCCGAAGGTTCGATAGTCCGAATGCACAAAAAAATCCATAAGAGGGGGTTCGTTAGTCCGAAAATGATATCCGAACATTTGATGCATAGTCCGAAGATTCATTAATCCGAAAGTTCATTAGCCCGAAGGTTCATTTATCCAAAGGTTCGGTAGTCCAAATGTAGAATAAGGTTAATCAGTTCGAACGTTCAATAGTCCGAAACACAAATAAGGTTCAATAGTCCGAAGGTTCATTTTTCCGAAATGACAATAAGGTTCGATAGTCCGAAAAGATTATAAGGTCCGATAGTCCGAATCGACAATAAGGTCGGATGGTCCGAGTCAACAGTAAGGTCCGATAGTCCTAAGTGTCAGACTGACGAACCGTTTTGTCCATTCGGACTATCGAACCTTATTGTCAGTGGCGTAGCCAGGAATTTTTCAGTGGGGGGGGGGGGGGCTGGAACATTTCATGGGGGGCGTTATGTAGATCAATGATAATTTTTTTTTTTGAAACTCAAAGTTTCAGTGGGGGGGGGGGGGTGACTGGGGCGACAAGGTTTCATCGCCCCCACGCCCCCCCCCCCCTGTGGCTACGCCACTGCTTATTGTTAATTCGGAATCGGACCGTATTGTCCATTCGGACTATCGAACCTTATTGTCGATTCGGACTATCGCACCCTATCGATCGTCTATTCGGACTATCGAACCTTCGGATTAATTAACCTCATTCGATTTTCAGACTAATGGGCCCTTCGGACTATCGAACCTTCGGACTATCGAACCTTCAGACTTTTGATTCTTCGGACTAACGAACCTGTGGACTAATGACCCTTCGGACCAAAGAACCTTCGGACTATCGAACCTTCGGACTATCGGGCTGTAACCATAGAAATGGATAGCTGAAAACGGAAATAGCCTACGAACAACTGGAAAGCCTCAGTTGTAACACATGTTGCGGATTCCCTTCTTCGAGCTAACCCTCTTGAGGGCGTTGTCCCCGAAATAATTTATGATGGATAGTAATATATTCGCATTTTGTCCTTCTCCCACACTCGTCTACTCACCACACCATTAAAATCAATGCGCGACACCTCACTCACAGCCTGGTCCCCATCAAAAGCCACGTGTAAATCCAACGCCGTTGCAGTCTCCTCATTATCGCATGGTACATCGGGCAGATCACGCCACCAGCCGTCAGGGTACCAGCCCGGCAAAATCCAGACATACTTCGCGCCAAAAAGTTTGGCTGTGTACACCTGCAGAGTAAAATATGCACAATTTGACAACGGTACCGAAGAATTTGATCCAGTATCTTAAGTTACTACATTGTATGGGGCAACATTTGCGTAGTGATAACGGCTAATTTCTTTAACAAAACTTATGAAGGATTAACACAGCTTTGTTGTAATGGGCAATCTGCAAACGGGTCAGTCGGTTGATTGTTTAATCATTGGATTAGTGTAGATTGAGTTGGTTAGTTGGTTACTGAGTTGTTCGACGGTGCGTCGGTTGGAGCGCGGGCCTGTCTGTCAGTCGTCTGCCTGGTCGTTTAGCGGGTCAGATTGTACGTCGGTTAGTCGACAAGATGACAGGTTATTATATAACACGGTCAGTCATGCCAATCCGTCAGTTGAAAGTAAAAATCGCCGGTCAGGGTAGGGCTGGAATATATAGAGAGGAGAACCTACCTTGCAGAACAATTTGGCTGCAGGTTCAGGATAGAATGCCGTTATGATCACTCGGGCATCATGTCTCTAACATACAAATTATCAAAACAAAAATATGAATTCGTATAGCATCTTTCATTGTTTTGTTGATGATTTAAAGTAGTGTATAAAAATGTCTTATCCGAATGATAACATTATTAGTTGTTCTGGTCTTTAATTACTCGTTCTGGTCTTTAGTTTGCGGCGTGGCTTACCTGCCATGATGGATTAGAATGGTTTTGTTACCTTAGTTGTTGTGGCACGCAGTGGCCCTTAAGACGGTGATGAACATTCGTTCTTTTACCAAAATGTTTGGGGCTTAGACTTTTACGAAAGGACACTTTGATAGTCTAGTGCTGTAGTGCACAATTACCCTTTTGCTCAACAAGATCGTTGGGTCGATGCTAGTGCTCTGTCGGACGCGCTTTTAATTTAGTGAAAGTTCGGGACTTTTTGAGGTCAACTTTTCCTTGTTAAAGACAGCATTCTTTAGTCGAGACCTTTTCTCTAGATCCCATTATTAGTTCTGTGCACCGTTGCTTTGTGGACTTCAATACTTGGAATCACTCGGAATGTTTGAACATGCAGCTTACAGTCCATGTTTCCAACATGACTTGTCAGATAATAATAGGCTCTGCTGTCGGTTGCTGGTACTCTACCTTATCAAATTAAATTACATCTTTTTATCCATTTTGCCAATTCAATGACCACGTGACTTTAGCAACATGATTTTGTTTCATCCCACTTTACCTTCAGACTTTGGATTTGTTCATCGGGATGTTCAGCATTCGTGACAGCCTCTGTCGTCAGCACAGTTATGCCATTTTCCAATAGTTTCTCCGCCAGCTTCGCCATATTCTATCAACGAATGAGTTGTCTTGAGATAAGTTGTGTCTTTGAACACTATAAACAATACTTTTGGTGGCATATAAAACAAAGGTGGTAATATGAAACTGGATTCTCTAAAACGGCATGATACCTTGAGTTCAGATTCTGAATTTCAAAATACGAATTACCGTTGTTTAATATTTAATGGCAAATGTACACAGCGAATAAACTGTGTTTACTAAGTCTGATGCCTAAAATTACACCTATACTTATTTGACAATTTAGATCTAAATTTGTGCAACAAGGCTCTAGTAGATGCAAATTGTAGCAACCCGCCTGTGCTGCTCTACCGGGTTGCTACCATGGGCGTAAATCCCGGGGAATGGGGGTATATATCCCTCACAACTTTTTGACCATGGGGGGATGGGCTACTGAATCATCCCCCACTTTTTGTGATTAGAAAAAAACATGCGGATTTTGTGGTATTTTTCGAACGTCCCAACAACTAAAATGTATTCAATAACACTGAAAAGTGAAGAAACAAAGTACACAAGCTTTCAAAATGCACCGTTTGGATGTAAGCGCGAGTATACACATTGATATACATCTTTATCTTGAAGAGCGCCCCTAGTGTAATGTGGTGTCGCACCCCCCCCCCCCCCCCCCCCCCCCCCGCTTTTCGAATTTACACGGCCGGGCAATTTTAGAATTTTGGTTATTTCCACCCCCCCCCCCCCCCCTTGCCAGCACAGATTTACGCCACTGGATGCTACAGTTAACATCGTAAATGCCGGTAAACTGTAAATACAGCGTTGAACTGATATTCCACATTATGAAGAAAGTGTTCATAACTTCAGAGTAGGCGGTTAGATGTACATGAAAGAGTAACGATCATTTGGGGACACCAATTACCTGTCTGAAATACTGGTTATCTTCGAAGATGAGGGCAACTCTTCTCCACCCCATCCGTTTCACGAAGGCCACTCTGGCAGGGTTCAACAGATCCTCGTCTACGGAAACTTGCACGGTCAGTGGGTAGCGGGCTCGGTCCTTCAAAGTGGTAGACGAGGCAATTACAACCTGGACAAAACATGCAGCAAAAAGACAAGAGGCAGTTGGAGGTAGGTGATTCGTAACTTGTTGATGAAGCATGGTCCATGTGGCACTCCCTGTTTATGAATATTATTAACTTCCATGCGCCAATAAAAACTAAACGTATTCCGGGTGCCTCTTTACCTTGGCTCGATGGCGAAATTCTTCAACTTATGCGGCTGTGTGATCGTACACACAAAATCGCAAAACCCTCAGGCTAGCAAACCATTGGGATTCTCACAAAAAGCTGCGGAAAACAATAACTAACAAAATCCGTACCAAGAGAAGAGAATACTTCACAATATGAGAAAAAAACAAGCAACTCATATATGCTTTGGAAAAGCTACCGGGGGTACTTCCTTACAAGAAAAGAAAAAAGACAACTGCTTCAAATTGTATCCCTTCCTCAAACAGAGAAAATATTGAGGATCCCACGGATATTGCTGACACATTAAATGATCCTTTTACAATTTGAAAACGTATGGCCGCTAATGCCCCTCCGAAAAAGACGACAATAATATTCGCACCTTTATCCTTGATTCTCTCCGAGAAGAATGCCTACAGTAGCCCACCTCATCTAGTGTTCGTTCAAAAGCAAATTAATGTCGGCTGGGAAAACTAAAACAACAGGTCCTGATGGCATAAGTGTTAAAATGATTTAAGTGGCCTCCCTACATTTGTAACTCATATCTTTAACCTTTCCACAAGATGCCAGCAGTACCTTAAAGACTGGAAACATGCTTTGTTAACACCAAATCACAGGGGAGCAGACTGCCAATTGTGTATAGGATTTTAGCAAGATGGGTGCACTCAGCAGTATGAATTAACGTACCTCAATAAAAACAATCTGATCCCTAGTTGTTAATCAGTATTTAGACCATTGCAGCAAAGCAGACTACACGATTTAACAAACAAGTGTTTTCAGGCTATAGAGCACGGAGAAGTGACAGGACTGCCAACAGCATTTGACTTCATTGATCATGTAATCCTTCAAGACAAACTTTTTAAAAAGCTGAATAATGTCAACTGCTTAATCAAGTCACACATAAGTGATCGTAAACTTAGTCCGTCCGTGAATATTGAGAGCAACATATTAAAGGTCCATCCACGAAACGTTGACGATCCGCAGGGGTCGATCTTAGGTCCACTTGTATTCGTTATTCGGCAAAAAGAAACTACAATACTGACCGCCACGTGTGCATTGCTGATAAGAGAACTCTTGCATGGGTGTGTAATACCATGGTGTTACTATTTTCGTTTTCAAAAGTCTGAACAAAACGAGCAGTCGCGAAACAAGAAAATCAACGAACATGGAACTGAAAGTCCATTTCGCCGAAAAACAATGCTGCACTACAAGTGTCACCGTTAGTGGTACAAATATATTCATTAAAATGTACAACTGAGAACCATGAATTCCCTAGCCACGTTCAAATCATTACTACGTAAAGGCATCAGTCAGTGATACATCTTCCATTGATTCACTAATGGAAACTTTTTTTTTTTTTTTTTTTTTTTGGGGGAGGGCATACCCTGGACAAAGAAATATATTTGAAAAAAAACTCATAATATGCCGCAATATGAATTTCCTTCGCGAACCTCACGTAATGTCAAAACTAACTCTACAGACTGGGCCAGAAATTCAACTTAATCAATCTTAACACAAGACCCCAAGACACTGTATAATTCTAAAATTTAACGAGATTTTCAGAGATTACTTTAGAGTCTCAAAGGTTTTCAATTTAGTTGAATCTTTCTGCAATATGGCGGCTTATCGTCAATTCGTTGTTTCCAAAGACAAACTGATAGGCCTATAATCAAGGACACTCTATTCTGCATCCATACAAACCCCTGAGAAGGTTACTGTTTTCCCCCTTAAGGGCTTGTTATCGTTTAGGGATCTCCATAACGCAGGTTTGGATTAGTAAGTTAAAGCTCTCCACAAAAGACGCAATATATTATGAATAGAGTCCCTTTTCCTAATTTTGTTTTGGTATGCTTGGAAGGCTCTCAGATATTGTGAGAAGTTCCTCTTTCTTTTAATTCTGCTAATGGCATTTATATTTTTGTTGGCTAAAATGTTTTGTTGAAGGATAGACAGGAGTTAAATGTTGATCGTCAAATTGTTCGCTTGTTATTTAATCCCCCCTGATACACCACTGTATCAAACTCGTCTCGAAAGCATTTTACTTTTTAGTTTACTTTCATGTAATTCAATATTTGAGTATATGAAAATTGTATACTTAAAGTCAATACATGTATATGAGACTGCCATACAAGGAATTATTCATACTTACTTTCGCACGTTGATTAGTATTTTGAACGTGAAATCAAACTGTATTCAACACAGCTAAAAACTGCCGGTGAGTGCTTCATAGTAATAATCGAGTAAAGTCGACAAACTTTGCAAAGAAAGACGAGTATATTACTGTCCAAAATAAGTTTTAGTAGGCCCATGTAACTTATGTGGGTTTGAGTATTTTTTATGGATATTCACACAAAACGTCCCTACTGTAAAATTATAGCTTACACGTAATTATCACGTTTTAATTTGATTTGGATTGATTTTATTCAGATGAAATCAACAACAATTACATACACTTCACATGACAAAACAAAGATAAGATAGCCCCCAAAACCAATCGCAGAAACTGATTATTTCCATTGGGGTCCCTTTCTTTCGGCCCTCACCCCACTACCTTCAATCCTAGCCTACCCGATACCTTGCCCGACCTGTTCCAATGTGTCCTTTATCCTGCCCTCTCTTTCCACCTCACCCCACCCTCAATCCTACCCTACCCGATACCTTGCCTGACCTGTTCCAATGTGTCCTTTATCCTGCCTCTCTTTCCACCTCACCCCACCCTCAATCCTACCTACCCGATACCTTGCCCGACCTGTTCCAATGTGTCCTTTATCCTGCCCTCTCTTTCCACTACACCCACTACCTTCAATCCTAGCCTACCCTATACCTTGCCTGACCTGTTCCAATGTGTCCTTTATCCTGCCCTCTCTTTCACCTCACCCCACCCTCAATCCTACCCTACCCGATACCTGCCGACCTGTTCCAATGTGTCCTTTATCCTGCCCTCTCTTTCCACCTCACCCACTACCTTCAATCCTAGCCTACCCTATACCTTGCCTGACCTGTTCCAATGTGTCCTTTATCCTGCCCTCTCTTTCCACCTCACCCCACCCTCAATCCTACCCTACCCGATACCTTGCCCGACCTGTTCCAATGTGTCCTTTATCCTGCCTCTCTTTCCACCTCACCCCACCCTCAATCCTACCCTACCCGATACCTTGCCTGACCTGTTCTAATGTGTCCTTTATCCTGCCCTCTCTTTCCACCTCGCCCCACCCTCAATCCTACCCTACCCGATACCTTGCCCGACCTGTTCCAATGTGTCCTTTATCCTGCCCTCTCTTTCCACCTCACCCCACCCTCAATCCTACCCTACCCGATACCTTGCCCGACCTGTTCTAATGTTTCCTTTATCCTGCCCTCTCTTTCCACCTCACCCCACCCTCAATCCTACCCTACCCGATACCTTGCCCGACCTATTCCAATGTGTCCTTTATCCTACCCTCTTTTTCCACGTCACTCCACCCTCAATCCTAATCTACCCTATACCTTGCCCGACCTGTTCCAATGTGCCCTTTATCCTACCCTCTCTTTCCATCTCTACCACACTACCCTCAATCCTACCCTATTCTATACCTTGCCCGACCTGTTCCAATGTGTCCTTTATCCTACCCTCTCTTTCCACCCCACCCCACCCTCAATCCTACCCTACCCTATACCTTGCCCGACCTGTTCCAATGTGTCCTTTATCACACCCTCTCTTTCCACTTCACCCACACTACCCTCAACCCTACCATACCCTATACCTTGCCTGACCTGTTCCAATGTGTCCTTTATCCCACCCTCTCTTTCCACCTCACACACACTATCCTCAATCCTACACTACCCTGCACCTTGCCCGACCTATTCCAATGTGTCCTTTATCCTACCCTCTCTTTCCACGTCACTCCACCCTCAATCCTAATCTACCCTATACCTTGCCCGACCTGTTCCAATGTGCCCTTTATCCTGCCCTCTCTTTCCACCTCTATCACACTACCCTCAATCCTACCCTATTCTATACCTTGCTCGACCTGTTCCAATGTGTCCTTTATCCTACCTCTCTTTCCACGTCACTCCACCCTCAATCCTAATTACCCTATACCTTGCCCGACCTGTTCCAATGTGTCCTTTATCCTACCCTCTCTTTCCACCTCACCCACTACCCTCAACCACCCTACTCTATTCCTTCCCCGAATCGATCCAATGTGTCCTTTTCCTATCCTCTCTTTCCACCTCACCCCGACCCTCAATCCTACCCCATACCTTGCCTGACCTGTTCCAATGTGTCCTTTATCCTACCCTCTCTTTCCACGTCACTCCACCCTCAATCCTTCCCTACCCTATACCTTGCCCGACCTGTTCCAATGTGTCCTTTATCCCATCCTCTCTTTCCACCTCACACACACTACCCTCAATCCTACCCTTCCTTATACCTTGCTCGACCTGTTCAATGTGTCTTTTATCCTACCCTCTCTTTCACCTCACTCCCCACTACCCTCAATCCGACCCTACTCATACCTTGCTCGACCTGTTCCAATGTGTCCGATCCTACCCTCTCTTTCCACCCTCAACCCACTACCCAATCCGACCGTACTCTATACCTTGCTCGACCTGTTCCAATGTGTCTTTTATCCTACCCTCTCTTTCACCCTCACCCCACTACCCCCAATCCGACCCTACTCTATACCTTGCTCGACCTGTTCCAATGTGTCCTTTATCCTACCCTCTCTTTCCACCTCACCCCCACTACCCTCAATCTTACCCTACCCTATACCTTGTCCGACCCGTTCCAATGTGTCCTTGATGCTACCCGCTCTTTCTGCGTCACCCCACTACCCTCAATCTTACCCTACCCTTTACCTTGCCCGACCTGTTTCCATTCTGTCCTGTCCTATTCCCTCATTTTCCTTCCTACTACTACTACTACTACTACTACAACTAGTCGGCTGCGCAGCAGCCGGTCACAATGTTTTTCAAAATGGCTCGATTTTGGACGGCCTCACGGATCTCCTTAGGTGTAAGAGCTACATCTTTAGAGAGTAGTCTGGCAATGTACTGTGGGTACATCAAGGAAGGTCTTCCTTTCCTACGGTTCCCATAAACAGGTTGGTAGAGGGTGTAGAGGTTGACCAGGTCGTCTTTTGGTTTTCTCAGCGCATGTCCAAACCATTGAAGCTGCCGCTGGTAAATGGCGATGGAGAGGGGCTGTTGTCCAGTTATTTCATAGATTTCGTCATTGCTGATGTGGTCTCTCCGCCTGATCTTCAAAATGATACGGTAACAGTTTGTAGCAAAGCTATTGATATAAGCTTTGAGGTTTTCGGTCACTACCCACGATTCACAGGCATACATAAGGATGGCGACGCATGAAGTTTGGAAGATCTTGAGCTTGAGGTCAAGATGAATTGTTTGGATTTCCAGATTTTTTCAAGCTTCCAGAATTCTGCCAAGGCTAACGCTCTTCTACGGCGTACATAATTTTCTGTTGATGCCATCATTGAGCCCAGGTACTTGAAGTCATATACCTTCTTGATTTTTTCATCATCCAGGATAAGATCTCCTGGGCAAGAACGATCAATTGACATAGCTTCTGTCTTGCTTGTGTTTATATGGAGGCCCACGGTCTTTGCAGCATCAGTATGATATTTGAGCTGTTACTTTCCACTAAGGCAATATCATCTACAAAGTCTAGCTCATTGAGTTTGCGGGTAGGTTCCCTAGAAGCTCTTCTTGGATGGGTGACAAAACCAAATCCATCGCTAGCATTGTTCATGGTGTAGTCAATGATGACTATAAACAAGAAGGGTGCAAGTGTATCCCCCTGTAGTACCCCAGTTGATACTTCAAAGGTGTCAGTGAGTAGACCACCAACCTGTACTGCACTCTTTGAGTTGTCATACAGCACCTTGATTGCACGGACGACTTCATGTGGGATTCCATAGTGACGAAGAATGGCGAACATCATTGAACGGTCTATGGAATCAAATGCTTTGCGAAAGTTAATGAATGTAATAAACAGTGGAGGCTGTTGATCTTTTGCCCCTTCATGATTCTGCGAAGAATGTGGATCTGTTCAGAACAGCTCCTGCCCTTTCTGAAGCCAGCTTGGTTTTCCCTCAGCAGTGGGTCCACTACTGGTCGTATTCTACTCAGCAATATCTTGTTGTATACTTTGGCTGCATTTGACATCAAGTTGATGCCTCTGTAGTTGCCCATCTGTGATAAGTCGCCTTTCTTTGGCAGTGGTAGAATGATGTTAGTCTTCCACTGGGAAGGGACTGCCCCGGAGGTATAGACCTGGTCGCAGATATCGTGGATAATGGTTTGAATGTAGTCATCTCCATTCTTTAAGACTTCCGCTGTGATTGCACTGTCACATCCAGCTGCTTTTCCGCACTTGAGTGTGCAGATTGCTTCTTGTACTTCCTCAAGAGTGATTTAATTGGACTTGTGTCTATGGGCAAGAGGTGCTGGAGGGGGTGGTTCTGTTATAGTATTTAGATCTGCATTCAGAAAGTCCCTGAAATAGTTTCTCCATTCTTCAAGCAGTTCTGATGTGGTGTTAACTTGGGAACCATCTCTCTTTTTTTCACCTTGACTCTTGTAGAATTTTTCTTTCCAGCCAATTCATTTACCAGGGACCATGTTTTTTTAGTGTCGTTTCTTAAGGCAGCGCTGCTGTCATTTGGTTCTTTAGGTGTTTTGCCTCATCTTGTTGATATGATTTGGTCAGGTCTTCAGCCAATTTGCGCCAAATCCTTCTAGAAGCTGAACTGCGTGATGTTTGGAACTTGGCCTTAGCAGCATCGCGGCACCGACGCAGGTCTCGAGTCTGGGAGCTCACCCATGATGGCAAGGAGGATGATTTTTTTTCCTAGAGTATTCAGAGCTGCATCATTCACTGCTGTCTCGAAGGAGTCATATGTGGTTTGAATAGTGGGGTTGTCTTCCTCTGACATCAGCGCCTCAAAGCGATTCTTCAAAGCCAAGTTGAAAGATTCTTTCACTTGAGGTTGCTGTAGTTTATTCCTGTCATATTTTGTATTTCTAGTTTCTTTCCCCAGTTGTCCTGAGGCTGAGTTTTGAACGTTGCGGTGACAATCCTATGGTCTGAGTCAAGCTCCACTGTGTTGTATGCACGACAGTTTCGGACTAATTTCAGCCATTTGCCTCTTATAAGGATGTGGTCGAGTGGGCACGGCTACCGCTGGAATGTTCCCATGTCCACTGCCTGCCTTTTGGCTGAGGGAATTTCAACTGCACTGGTCGAAGTTTGCATTGTTCACACAGCTCAATCAATTGGGCTCCATTTCTGTTGGTTGTATCATGGAAAGAAGCTTGTCCAACAATCCTAGGATTTGTTAAATGGCTGTCATGACCAATTCTAGTATTGAAGTCTCCTGCGACTAGAACCACATTGTGTGCTGGTATGGTCTGGATTGTGTCAAGTAGTGCGTCATAGAATTCATCCTTTGACTCTTGGGAGGCATCCTCAGTAGGTGCATACGCAGAGATGATTGTCACTTTTGGGTTGCCTTCAAAGTGTGCCATGATGACTCTTCCTGAGATTGTTTTCAGCATGCTGCAAGTGTTTTGCTATGTCTTTCCTAAGCAGGATGAGTACTCCTCCTCCTTGCCTTTTTTCACTTGCTGAAGATTAAAGGAAGAGCCAGTTGTTATTGTCACTCCAGTGGTAAGCTACAGGGTCTGTATAGTCAACCACCTGTGTTCTTGGACAGCTACTATGTCGATGTTGAGGGTACGCACATTGTACGTTGAGATGTTAAATGCTTAGTCGATACATTGAAGGGCTTTCGGCGGCTTCTATCAGAAACAGAGGTCCAGTAGGTTTCCCCCTGCCTCGTCATCCTGTCGGAACTAGTCCGAGATATCCGTCGTCTACCCTTATGATTTTCCATTCTTATCTTTGTGACTTTCGTAATCGAGATTGGTGAAAATGATCTTATTCTCGAGGACTCATGTCGGCCCTACTATTTCTTTCCCCAATCACCAATTGCCTTGAGTCCTATTCTGCTATATAGACTGCTCCCTGAGTTTTCATGGTTGTATTATATATAAAGTAATTATTTGTTTGTACACTGGGAAATCAATTTTCATGTAATTTTGAGCATGACAATAAAGAAATGTAATATAATCTAATCTGAACATCTCAATTGCATCTTAGCTTATATTGGGGTTATTATCAGAAGGAATATTTTAATTTAATACATGCTTTATAAAAGAATTCTAGTAACGTCTTCATTCTGTTTAAGCAAGGCACCGATGGTTCGACCATATGTTTTATTGTACTTTGAACGAGACCAATACAATGGAAAAAAAATAACTTACCTGGGCAATATTGTAGCGAGGCAAGACTTCATTGACGACTACAGCGACACTGGAAAACATGGGTCCCCATGTCATCAACACCGGCGGCCCGTTTTGGACAAAATCGTTCAGGAGCCGCAGTGCATTGGCTGGACTTCCCTTTAATGGACCGAAAATACAAAAAGTAGCTGTTGTCAGTAAACAGTAAACACTAAGAACAGTTGTTTTAATATGGAAAAAATATAAATTTTCCCTTTGCATCAAATGATTTATCCAGAACAGCATGCGTAGTAATATACCTGAATATTGTATCTATGGAGAGATAAGAGGGCTGTTCCTCGGAACATGCTGAACAAAAAAAGCTTATTTTAATACTCAGCCGAAACTCTATTATTTTAACGTGCGGTTTTCCACCACCGTCAGTCCGTCAGTTCATCTGACGTAAACTCAGACCATTTCCATGAGTTCTGATAAAAAAAAACTTGACAGTAATTATCATAGTTATTGTTACCCTCAATTCAAGTTTATTTTTTCCAAATGTTTCTGATGAGAAATTAAAACATATAAGCAGCATTTATAGATACCCGCATTCCAGCATTTTTTCGATTGATATTTTTTTCAGTGGTGGGCAGGGACATTCCCCCCCCCCCCATTAAATTAACAACAATGTCATTTCGCGCTCTTTTTATTCTTCAACCCAACCCCCCCCTTTTTTTTTTTGTTGGCTTGTCGGGGGAGGCAAGCGCCCGTCTCCCCTTGCCCCCCCCCCCCCCCCCCCCCGCCCGTCGCGACGCCCATGGATACCCATGGCAGTTTACCCATTCCTATTGGTCGAGAGCCCGTCATGCCGGTGGGTTCAAACCACTGTTTAAACTCGGGGTCTATCCGATGTTCCCCAATACTTATGTTCCCCAAAATCCTTAGGGTTTTAGGGGAGGTACATGGGATAGGGTTAGGGTTGGGGACCATACTTATTGGAGAACATAGGTATGCACACTTTGGACACCGCGGAGATGTATTTAAAACCAGCATACTGAAGGTGACCCCTGAATCACGACAATAAATATCTTATTTTGTCTTTGTATTCTTTAAAAAGAGCATTATATATTTTTCAACGTTTGTAGGCTTTGAAGTTCGGGAAAAATATGTTTCGATAAAACAATTTTTTGACGTTGTTTTATTGAGAATCGTTTTTATCAAATGGTGGTTCAAAATGGACCGATGTAAAATTGCAGTAAAAATGTCTGCTGGTTCACACCATGATCTCCATTTTATCACACGAAGTCACGATCAGCTGAGCAACCCAGCTGAGCAGCCAGCTTTAATTGTTGCTGGCCAAATCCCATAGGCCAAGCAATAACCATGCAGGACTTTCCTCAAAACACTCTATGTCAAGACGTATTGCCGATCGTTGTTCTTGTACTGGAGGTAAAGTAGGCCGTAGGTACGTGTACAATGAACGTGAACATGTCAGAGGTCATTTTTTTACGATACCGCATTAGTCACGACCAGGCAGTTGTTTTTCGCTTAACTTAATTACAGCATCACGAAAGCCTAAAATGATTGACATGAAAAAAAACCTTGGATGATACTGTCTGATTTTCTCCCCATTTTCCTGGTTAAAAAATCGTCTGAAAATAAAGCTAAGGAAATAGCCTTGGAATTTACGTCTCAAGGTTTTCAAAAACTGTTCAAAATAGTGGCGGGCTAGTTAAAGTATACCTCAAGTAGCCCGGCTGTCAAAAATTAAGAGGGCTAAGGCAAACATCAAGTATATGAAGAAATAAATTCAGAAAGCAAACGTGTATTTTGTCTAATTGTTTAGGGTTAAATTATAGGTTTTCGTTCAAATTCACCAATTCTAATATTCAATTTCGTCCAGCACCATCGATTTAGTGCACTTCCAATGTTTAATTTCGTCTTTTGTCAGACAATTTCAAATTTAGTCCAAACAAATTCAAATAATGAGCACACGTTTTTGACCCGGTGTATTCGACTTCGTCTTGTCTACGCCGAATCGTCTCATTCAGAAAACAAATTCGTCTAATTGAATTATATAAGACGAATTTGATCTCTGAATGCTGCCATTCGGCAACAGCTTGGACGAATTTGATCTGTAATGACGAATATTCTCGACCCGGTGATTAAAAAGGATGACCAAACTTTGAAATGGAATGGTAAATGATTAAATTGGCTGTGTTAAAAGCATGTGAAATTTTTTCGGACGAAATTGAATGTTAAAGATGGTGATTCTGAATGAAAAATGTTTTTAAATAGCCGGGAAAACCTATATTAGATCTGTTAATTAAAAACACTGAAAACATTGCCTCAGGATACACGTTTTACATTGTATGCACATTGTTGTTTATGAGAACCCTGGTTACCGCCAGAGTGAAAGTTGGAAAAAATAAATCGCGTGGGACTCGAACCCACGACCTTCTAGTGCAGAAGTCTTACCACTCGACCACCGAGCTTGCGGGATTTTTAAGTGTCATTTCTTTTGTGGGAATCAGTCGAGTCATGTTCGTTCATAGAATGTGCCCCAAACATGGAAACAATAATGCAAAATGGTCCAACAAAAAAATCGTCGGAATTTTGTCAATTGTTCGACTTTTTTGAATTTTTTTACCAAAAGGGTATTTTGGAGCAGTGGGGTGGAGCAGTTCAAAACCGGTGAGGATTTTGGTCGCCGATAATAGATGGAGATTAATCTGTCTAACATGCTCTACCCCACTATAATTCCCGTAAAGAGGGTTGCATAACTCTATATGCGTAGATGATAAAGTAATAAACCCTCTTGGAAAAAACATGCGCCATACAATGTCCACGGAAATCATCACGTAGCTCAATCTTTCAATCATCAAGAGGTCGCATACTTTAATTATGATGTATTGGGTCGAACATTCACTATGATGTCGTATGTGCGCTCAATTGAAATGAAAAACAAAATTCCGTGCATGTGAGGATTAATAGAAATGGCAAGGACCCTGAACAGAACGGTTGACGTGGCACGCAATCACGTACTCCATATCAGTGTACGGTCGAGCATGCACTTGCTTTTTGCTCATGTTTCCACTGACTTTGCGCAACCGAAATGATAGATGTAAGCATCGTTCTCTTGAAAATAAAAGGATGGATTTCTGTCTTTTGCGCTCATGCGTGCCTGATTTGGTCAAAAGATATACCGACATATTTACGAAGTCCAAGTAGGAGTCGACTTATTTCTTTAATATCTCGACACATTGAGGTTCAGAATCCGTCATTATTATTTATATCAGGTTTCCACGTTGTAAACATAAATTATCGTATTGTATGCTGTCTGAAATATAGCTTTCCTTTTTATTTGAACACCCATATCGCACAAACTCCCTAACACTATTATTAATTTCGTCTCCGAACATCGTAAAGCTCAATTTCCGATTTCAATTTCAAAAAGGTCACCAAAAGGTTTAATTTAAGGGTCAGTATAATTCAAAATTATAGCACTCCAATTCGTCCTGAATTTGGTAGATTCGTCTCATTTGGCGGTCGGCGTTGAATTGGAAAAGCAAATTCGTTTCAGATTTTTTTTATCATTAATTTTAACGCTTCGGTCATTTAAATTCAAACAGTGCATTCTTTGCAATACTTGGCATATGAAGGTCTATAAAGTTCTAGGTATCTCTAAGTTTTCTTTCACTTTTTCTCAGACTCGATCGATAAGAAGGTAGCTGACAATGTTGTAGTTCTAAAAGGCGGATACAAACGCGGACACTGACAGTATCATATAGACGTCTTCGAAGGACATCATTTTGACTACATGTTTTCATACAAACATACTGGCTGTCGTTGACACTCTCGGGTAAAAACACCATACTCTCGTATCATCATGAAACTTGCCTTCGTGGGAACAGAAGAAATATATGCCAAGATGAGGAGAATATGTTCAAACTAAATCAAGAAACTGGCTGAAATCTTGGGTCAACTATACAACAGCAGCGCTATGACAATTAAGCCACATTCCAAAGTTTGTTCGGAGTATAGACGGCATGCCAATCACACTGAAGCTTGACTGCAGGCCTCAATACCTAAAGTCAGCAACACCAACAGAGTGTCAAAATTAAAATGTTCACAAATACGCTTATTCCTTCATAATAATTTGAAAAAATATCGGAAAACATTTTGTCTAACCGTTTCATTTTTTTTATTAGCGGAAACGAAATGTAATGACAGTAGCATCAAAATGAATGACACGTATTTGCTTTTTCAATACAACGCCGATTTCCACACGAGACGAATTTACAGACGAATTCAGGACGAATTAGAATGTTACAAATTTGAATTATACCGCTGCAAATGAAATCTATTGGTGGCTTTTTGAAATTTAAATTGGGAATTGAGCTTGACGATGTTCGTGGACGAAATTAAAGTATCGTTATAGGGAATTTGTGTGATATGAGTGTTGGAATAACTGGGGAAACCTATAGTACCCGGGAGGCTATACAATATCGTTTTGATACTCTATGGTTATCCGGGGATTTTATGGTATCGACGCGCATTCCGCTGGTTCCTCACAGCTGGAAAATGAAACTCACAGTTGTCACCACTGATCCCCATTAGTCTTACTAATGGAGATCAATGGTTGTCACCAATGGTTGCCACCACTCAGTCATTAGGGCGTAGCGCGCGGTGCGGTCGCACGCGCACGTACGCACTGTTTGTCAACAACAAAAATGGCAGCCTCGAACGGCGGCGAGATTCGCTTCCGTACGCAGAAAATAATGCAAAAAAAATTGAGAACTAAAGACGCTGAAAATACCTTGATAGCAATCTAGGTAGGTGGCAGTAAATATTCTGCGAACGTAACTGGCCGAGAGGAATCTACCGACGGCTTTTTAGACGCCGGAAAAGCTTACCCTTTCGGGGATTTTGTCGAAGGTCTAAATTACTGTTAATGTGGAAGTGAGGAAAGCAGACGGCGATGTTACAAGACAGCGTCATGAAATTTATATATTTCGGATCAAGTCAGCCTGATATAAATCACAATAATATTTTATGTCTTTTTTCGGGGAAACAAGAATATATTGCACTTGCTTTAATAACTTGCGTTTCGTCTTCGACTCTTGCAATATTGTTATAAACTCGTTCAATACATTCTTGTTTCCCCTTCAAAGCAATCCAATATAATATAAATAAAGACTTATTTCAACTTCATGAACGATTTATTTTAAGATGAAAATTTGGAGTTTTAATTTTGGGATCCCGTTATATTATAAAATAATATTGTAAAATTATATTATATAATTCTGCATTTTATGTTGTCTTTTAACCTTACGAGACCGGAGGATTGCAGGACACTCTTCCGCTGCGGTAATTTCTTTTACCAAACGGCAAAGGTATTGCGTATTAAACATTGGACATCCTAATTGACGCAAATATAGATGTCGACAGCAGTAAGTGAGCATATACTTTCCGTTTAATATACAAACTAATGTGGACTGGGAACAAATAAACGGATTCAAAAATGAGTTATATTTACAAATTGACAAGATTCTAACCCCGTACCTATTATATATGTACGTACACGGTACCACGTAAGCAACTCGAACGGCCTCGTTTTGATCTTCTGGCCTGTGTACGTACTTCTCTGGCATGTTATAATATATTGAAGGCTATAGGTATTAGAGTTTGACGTATGTTCACGAAGATAACATTCATTTGTTCCACAATCCACATGTCGGACAGCTGATGTTGACTAGGACGGAGCCCAATATGTCCGACCCATTACGTCCGGCCGGCGGCCGATAATGTTCGACTCATATTAAACGTCAGACGGCCGATTATGTCCGACACATCATGTTCGATGGCAAGGCCTGATCAAGAACACAATTTGTTTGGGGGCCATTTTTTTTTTTGTTCCCCAAAAAAGTGGGTCAAAAACATTTTCCGCCCAAAATTTAATATGAAAAGCAGGGGGGGGGTGGCAAAGGTATACTTTTTTGTGGGTGGTGTACGCAGTAGCTGCCTTTTTTGCGACGTCACTTAAAATGATTTGCCCTTGTCCGATGGCTGATGATATCCGAACCGTTATGTCCGATGGCCGATTGCTTCCGGCCAATTGTGTCCGACGGCCGATTTTGTCCAACCCATTATGTCCGACGGCCCATTATTTTCGACCTGTTATTTTGTAAATCAATAATAGAACATATACAACTATGAAATTTACCTTTGTACATCGCTTTATTGATATTGCATACTACAGTTAATTTGTGCCATCTTGCAGTTCGCGCTTAATTGCATTTATACTTCTAGCACTAGGCCTGAAGGTCCATTAGGCTTTGGGCCGTCTTGCCGCTACGACTTGGTGGTCAGCCACTTTCAGCTCTTTACTGTACAGTCTTGTCGCTGTGGCTTGCCGTTATAGTTCTAACATTTTCCCAAAGCTCTGTTTGCCTCTGGGCAATTCCATCGGAAAGTGGACATGGCTGAAAAGTGGAACAGTTATGAAATATTCAGAACTACATAAAGCATCCAGTGGCGACGCCAGACTCTAAAATTTGGGGGGCAATTGGGGTTGGGGCCAGGACATATTTTTGGGCAGTCGATGGTACGGAAATAAGAAATTTGAGCAACCTAGAGGTGTAGTCGTTTGAGTGAGAAATGTATCAAACCGCAGAATGGTGTATTAATGTATGACAAAATTGAACCACAAAGACGTTGGCTGCACAATATCTGCGGCTGTATAAATGCACGTGTGGCGTGTTATGTCTACCAACGTACCAATGTTTATAATGCGTTCATCGGCCCAAAATGTGTCCACAGAACCGATGATTCACTCTCTATCTGATATAAACTTCATCTTTTTGTAGATAAAGTGTTGGGGGAAACTGGCGGGGGACATGGGGGGGGAGAAACAACTTTGAGGGGCAAATGCCCCCCCCCCCATGTCCCCCAGCACCGTCTCTGCAAGCATCACAAGCTCAAAATGTGTGGTATCAAATCAAGGGGACAACAAGCACTTTACTTGAGTGGTGTGCCAGTATGATCATGGAATGAGGTTAAATGTTGCTGTTTTTTCTGGTATAAAAACCTGGTTTTAGGGTTTGCAAAATGCACGTGTTAATGTGAAATTTGTTTTTAAGAGAGAATGGTGAAGAGAATGGTTCTTATTTTATTTTTATAATGTAATACAGAGAATTTAGAATAGCACAATTCAGTATGTTTTTATCGCGTGTGTGAAGTTGATTTCAGACACGCATCGTCCGTATAATGTACCGTCCGTAACAACAAAAAATAGATGTTTTCATATTATCATCGAAATAGCTTTTTGTAAAATAACATAGGTGTTTTTATAGAGTGAAGCTATGGCTACCACAACGTAGTTATTTCATTAAATGCTTGTAAAAACTTCATAGGATTTATCAATGCGCACTGAAAGTAAAAACCTATGTCAGAGCTAGAAAGCACTCAGAGAGCGCAAACCTCCGCCAAGGCTAAACAATTTCCCGCCATTTGTCAGTACACCCAAAAGAAATACTTGCATAAAAGGTGAAGAATCCTTTAAAAAATCCTGGATCCAGACCCAGATCCGGATCACTTCCAAAATCTAATCGATTTGTACTTGTACCAAGGTCCACCCCTAAAACAAAAATTTCATGCAAATCTGTCCTTAACTTTTTGAGTTTTCTTGTTAACAGACAAACCAACCAACCAACCAACAAACTAACCAAATCCGATGAAAATATAACCTCCTTGGCGGAGGTAATTAATACGTAATATCGTACTCCGTTACGCATTTACAGTGATTATATCCCATTAAGTAATTCGGCCTACACTACATTAACCATGTCATTGTATACATTAAGGCCTGAGCTAGAGTTGTAACGAATATATCAAGGATTACCACTGCCTGGAGTCAGACTCTGCAGTACATTTTCTGTATTAAATTACCACCACACTCTGTACATGTGATGCGTTGTCCTGATGGTATGTTTCAAATTAAAATTCGAATTCATATTGGCAAACTTTTCGGCCGTCGAACTAGATGGGTCGTCATAATCGGCCGTCGTTCACAACGGATCGGACATAATCGGCCATCGGAAATAAGTAGCTTTGTAGCTTTGTTTTGGTCAAAATCAGCTGTCGGACATAATGCAAAACAAACGGACGTAATCGTCCTGAATCACGCTGATACCGATGTACTGTTTCGTTGCTATTTTTTATTAACCAGAAATATATTTGTCTAAAAATCAGTAACATCCTCGGTCGCGTTTTATTCATATAAATTTTGGCGTGTTTCGACCCCCTACCCACTCAAACACCAACACATTTTATACAGAAACAACTGTCGGTATTTTTGAATCCGAAAATAACCATTGACGAAGTGTAGCCTACCTGTAACGTCTGGAATACTATAAGATTACGGAACACGACCCACCTACCGCGCCGTATCAAGCCCCATCACTCTACACGTGATCTGTCAAGCCCTGTCGCACGATATATAATTATATCAAGCACTGTCACACCAGCAACTCATACCTGCTGAGATTTCCAGCCTTATCACTGTACAACTAGGCCTAAAATAACGTCTTTTTGTCTACCTCCTTTGTTTTATTTGTTGTTATTTTAGGTCCTACCTGAGTCCAGTTCCATCTCATTCTCAACTCGTATCCGTCCAAAATCCCCGTCAAGTTGTTCACATGGTTCACCGCTGTCTGCACGGTCAAAGGGAGCGAAGCAAAGAACGGGTGCGATTCAATCGGGAAGAAACCGCCAATGTAGATGGGCCGGATTTCCTGGCTATCCCGCTCAGCAGTTACCATTCCTTGGAACTCGGGTAATTCAGCAAGGTATGCTACTATCGTCAGTAGCAAGCACATCGATGCCGGAACGCGAAGTCGCATGTTGATCAGTGGTGATGCGGCTACATCCTTCTTGCTGTTTTTACATTTCTACCAGATTTGAATGAAATCGAAAACCTTGCTCAAGCTGTTTTTGTGAGAATCAAATCCATTTTCGCCTCGAGGCCTCTTCCGTTTAATGCCTAAGTGTCCCCTATGCTCTTCTGTGTATTGTCAGGGTCTTACCAGATTTAGGCTGACAGGTTGTTGAGCTGACACCGTTTAACACCGTTTCGCCTCGTGCGATCTGTTGCTGGTTGTCCAACCACTCGACAACATGTCAACGGCCTCTCTAGATACACAACTGAAGACCGTACCTGTTGTGGCAAGGTATCAACGAGTTTTACTTCAATATCAATCTTTAGCACGTAGACTTTTTCCGAGTCTGTTGGTACTGTAGGTTTATTTTCATTTTTCACACATTATGCATATATCTCCGGAGTTATTAATTCGCCAATGCCCAGTGTTGAGACTACAGCTTCATGCGTAGCCTTAGTTACGTGGTAACGTTCTTAAAGTCACGTGTTTCAAAGCCGTGCATTAAGCAAACTCGTGATACAATCGTACGCTAGGCTTTGGAAAACTGCCAAGTCGTAATTTGGTGGGTTTCGTTATCCGATTTTAACCCTAAAAGGGCCGGAACGGAATCCGTCCCCCTCCCTTCAACGTTTTCCACGATAGCCTGAGCTGTTTTGACTTTTTAGCTCGAGTCTTGCGCATCTTTTGATACCAAAAACATAGAATTTGGACCACGGGTTGCCGCACAGCGAACAGTCCGTCAAAACTGAATTTTCCCCTATAGGCCTACGGAGTGTACACACACCAGAATTACCATGTATGCATATGAATAATTAATAGTCCATAATTCCAAAACCCTTTGACCTATAGTCATGAAATTTGTTGGATATGTTAATGATAAGTTGTTCTATGCATGTACCGAGTTTCATAATTTTTCATCACTCGATGACTGAGATCTTAGGGGGGTGCAATCCGACCCCCCCCCCCTCCCGGCTGTGAGATGGTTAAAACAACTTGGCCCTCAGTATAGGGTTAAAACCCTATACTTCATAATCGGCTAAACATTGATGACTGTTTTCATATGACGATGACTAAACAATGTGACACCAATAGAAACTCTTGCTATTGCGATCTCACAGCACTGAATGTTCATCGGCGTCACAGCATCGTTTGAAACTGTCCGCGTTTTAAAACATTTTAAAAGAAAATCCCACTCATTGTAATCGTGAATGATTCTTTCTTACGTATTCACATCAAGTATACATGTAAACTGTAAAGCTTACCTCAGAATGACAATCACAAGGTAAAAAGTTTCTTAGCTTTGGTTAAAAAAAATATTGTGCTAGTGGTACTTTTTCCTCGATATTTGTTTTATTTTCTAAACATTGAGGATGTTTTTACTGAAACAAAAGTATCTTAAAAAATCAACTGAACTCAGCTTAGAGCAAGGTGGTTCCATTTCATGTAGGCGAAGCTTGTAAACATTGAAAAATGAAATCGTTGCAATATTGTCTTTCTGCAATAATGTGTAAGCGTGCATAAAAACAGCGATGATGCATTGAGACAGACTGTATTATGAAGCGCATTGCAATATGAATGTCTTCACATCACTTGACCGTATGGCACACATTGCAACACAATGCTTCAAAAGGTAATGATCGCCACTAGTATTAGGCGATGGGAAGGTCAAAAGGTAATGACCTTACAAAGCAATCTGATCTATACTATTATATAATCATATTATAATAACGTCGTGGGAAATATAAGTGTAGAAGATGAATTAATTGAACACCGCGTCTAAAATAATTCTCCGTACTCATATGTGACGGCACTTGTTTATTTACACAACAGACTTAAAAATGCATACTTTAATGGTCTAATTTCAAATTAAATATCAGTAAAAAACAAAAACAATCGTCCAAAATCCATTAATTAATGCTCCTCTGAGGTAGACAATACTGTCATAACATTATATTTGAACACCTTTTTACGGTTTAATTTACACTTGCTAAATCCAAACAAACTTGCCGAATTTAGTGGTATTTTGGGATATCAAAATAATGTGACCCTTGGTTTTATTAGATCATTAACAAAGAGGAAGAGGACTCGCCGTCTCAGTTCTGTGGTGATATATTCTGAAAGATTGGGAATAGCTGGAAAGGGAAACTGTAAGGTCTTCCCTCTGCATCGGTCAGCATTGGAATGCTCATTTAAAAGGTACGTGTACGTGTTTTACATTCAGCTAAATAGTGACATTAACTAATAATAATAAAAGGTACAATGATAGATGGGAAAGATGGCGGCAGTTTCCCGCCGAAAATCTACCTTACGGCCCCAATCTTGGAAATATCACAAAGTTTTGACATGAAATAGAAGAACAATAAACTTAAGAAATTAAAACAACACTAGTCTTGAAACGAATGATTTGAAAGTAATCAGTAAACTTTTAAGATATAAATATCTCCGGTCCTCTAAGGGTAGAGAGAAAATGGTATATAGATTGACTTCTGGAACATCATCCAAACATCGTCCACATTATCCATCCAAAGTGACAATTTCGGCCAAATATAAAGAATAATTTCAGGAGGAATTCATAATGAAGAACCTGTGAGTAGCGCATCGGGTCAGTATAGGTAGTGCCCCGGCCCCTGTTTGTACAAGTTCTATGGGGAAATGTGGGGGCGGTTTGTGGAGGGAATGAGGAGGGATTTTGCAGTTAGTCAAAATATAAGAAGATTACCGGATGTTTTGTTTAGGGATTACACATGAGTTTGTTTGTCATTTGGATAAATGTTTCAGGTTTAAGACGGCTGTTGGAACAATAGGCCCGTTATGCTCAGCAAAACAACATTAATTAGGCAAACCATAAAAGATGTCACTGTATTTTAGGTCTGTATACTGTACATTTCAATGATAAAGTCATTCATTGATGGGTTTAGGATGACATTAACGGTACCCGGTTTGATTTGTCACTGTGGACAAGTGTTTCGTGGATGTGAATACACATGTAGTTGGAGCCTCCATAGTTTAATGGAGCCGCTGCGCTTACAATGCATGCAATGGGTAATCACTGAATAGCTTGCTCATATTGTGCATGGGATGTTCATGTATAAGCCTTTGAGACCATCACTTGCAATGAATGCATCAGATCATTTCGTTTATACAGCAAACAGCGCTTGGCAAGCTTACAAGTGGTGGGGGGGGGGGGGGGGGTGAGTGTCACAGTTATATAATCGCTTCTATGACCTGCACTTTCAATATCGATGGTATTCAGATGTTACTAGATATCGATGGATTCAGATGTTACTAGAAAACGCGGAAGACAGTGATGATTTAAGACTAGTAGTTGCAAAAAGATTATTGTCATTTTTAAAAATAGTATAGAAGTGTCTTATAGAAAAGAAAATAATATATAAAATAGTCACCCCTTAGTCACTTTGATACAAGTAATTCCTTATGGCTATTTCATACCATAGACGAATAAGTTATGTTACATTGGGTACATACGCTGACGATTGTACTGCTCAGAAGAGCATGCCCGGCCATGCATGGAGATTTTAACTTTTGTGGGTTATATATAACTTTAAATAGACAGTGTATTGTAAACCGGTAAAAAAAAAATTGTTGTTTGTAAAAATACAGGTTTGAAATTATGAAGTGGACAGTTTTCTGGACAACTATAATAAGCCCGATATGTAAGATAGACAGTTGTATTAGACCCTGGGCGCCATAGAGACTGACTTCATTCACGGTTTAATTGACAGTACACACAACGAATTTCCAAGTTACTGAGCAGTTCATGAAGCGGAAATAATCCAAAAGACGTGAAGTCCATAATTATGTGCTTGGCATAAACCAGTGAGATGTGAAAATACCTCGTTTTTTAATGTATTACAAGTGTGTGGACATAAATATCGTATATTTCCCTACTTCTGATGTTTTTACTCTCGGTAGACAACTAAGCACATGACAGACTGCATGATAATGATAAATAAATTCTTAAATAATCCCTGAAAAATACAGTGTAAATAGACTTCCTTTAAATTCTCTATTCTTTATAATTCACTTTATCTGTTGACAAACCTGGCCCAATACATACCTCCACATTGTCTTCTCTCCCTCCCCTCCTGCAATGCTCACAGAACGTACAAAAATGGACCAGCAAGTCCTATAATAACGCTAGTAACGTCTGAATCCATTCACGGTTGGGATACCATCGATGTTAAGAGTGCAGGTCATAGAAGCGATTATATAACTGTGACAATCACCCCCCCCCCCCCCACCCACCACCACCACCAACACCACCACTTGTAAGCTTGCCAAGCGCTGTTTGCTGTTTAAACGAAATGATCTGATGCATTCATTGCAAGTGATGGTCCCAGAGGCTTATACCTGTACATCCCATGCGAAATATGAGCAAGCTATTCAGTGATTACCCTTTGCATGCATTGTAAGCGCAGCGGCTCCAATCAACTACGCAGGCTCCAACTACATGTGTATTCACATCCACGAAAACACTTGTCCACAGTGACAAGTCAAACCGGGTACCGTTATTGTCATCCTAAACCCATCAATGAATGACTTTTATCATTGAAATGTACAGTATAGTATACAGACCTAAAATACCGTAACATCTTGTATGGTTTGCCTAATTAATGTTGTTTTCAGGGTGACCGTAAGGTCAGAGCCAAATTCTGCCAAATGCACATCATAAATCTGTCAGATTTCTCAAAAATCTGCCAAATTTCCCAGAATTACTCAAAATACACTATGAACACTTAAATTCACATGCAGATTGGTAGTATTGCCTTAATTAAGATTCAAATTACATAATAAACAATCTAGTCACATAAAGATGTTGTGAAATTATTGGTAAATATCGGGCAAAACGTGGATCCGGCCACGACAAAGTTCGCTTCCCAGTGAACCTCAGCACGTAAACCAGCCATCCTCTCCGATTATGCAAGGGTTTGTTTGAAAGAATTGAAGCTTTTTTAAACAAATGTACACTTTTTTGTTCAAATCTGCTGTATTTCTGTCAAATAACAATTTGTGCAGAATTCTGCCAGAAATGTGCCAAAAAAATCCATTTTGTCAAATTTTCTGTCAAACTCGTTTTTTTTACAAAAAAAAAGTCAAAGTTAGCCGAAAATCGGCTAAAACTGTCACCCTGGCTGTTTTGCTGAGCATATCGGGCCTATTGTTCCAACAGCAGTCTTTAACCTAAAACATTTATCCAAATGACAAACAAACTCATCTGTAATCCCTAAATAAAACATCCGGTAATCTTCTTATCTTTGGACTAACTGCAAAATCC